CTCTCTCTCTCGTTCTCTCTCTTCACTGTCTTGGAGACTCTCTATTGACAATGCTCACTCCCTTGGAGATGCACTACTGAAAAGACACATGGTGCTATGTTCTAGGAGCTGGAGAAGTCACATGGACCTACCCTCATGCAACCAGACCGCTGGAGCCAGAGAAGTTACATAGAGACCCCTGCCAGTGCTGAGATGCTTACAACACCACTGGATCCAGAAGGATTCCCACCCACTGGCCTGTGATCTTCCTGCATTCAGCATCATTGCATGTATTTCGTGAGTCTGAAGAGGATCTTATAGATTGGTATTGGACATATGGGACAATATCGGACTTATGGACTTAATCTGGACTGGGCTGGGATGTTTTCTCAATATTCAATTTCTCTTGTATATAAACCGCTTTCTTATACCCATGCCAGTGTGTCTATGAATTTGTTTCTCTCCTACCCAGACTAACGTATTGCTTGTTGGTTGGTTTTCCCTTTAACGTGAGGGGTGATCCATACCGAACGTTGCAGTCTTTGATCTGTCTCAGTAAATCCTCTGGCTTTCAGCAAAGCAAGGTTGTGTCACCTGGCTATGACAGGGTGCTCACGTGTCTTCCCCCGATCTGAGGCGAAGGGCCTCCTCACAGTTCAGCATCTCGAAGTACTTGCCCAGCATCCAGGTGGAGTAAGGCAAAAGGAAACAACGCAGAGGCGCAACGTTCCTGAGTTTGAACCATCTAGGATCCCCCAATCCTTGTTCTGTTCACCCAAACATCTTCCATCCCAAGGGCCCTGCACAAGCACCCATGCTGACTTTGCTCTTTCTGGCCCCACAGTCAGCAACTTCAAGCCTCCACTTCAGTACTGAATACATACCATGGACTGCCAGAGAACCCAGCCTCTCAGCCACAGCAGGCTGCCACAATGGGCTCCAACATAGAGTGGTTGTGAGGCGGGTGCATGACTGGGTACGGCTTTGTTCCATTGTGCACGAGGTGGCTGAGTCAGAAGCAAAGCAGGGCACCAGTCAATGACATTTTAGTTTTATGTTTGGGGTTTTTGTTTTTGTTTTCAGAGATCTTTCTGGACCCAGCTAAACTCCATGTTCATATGTCTTCAACCTCCGTCACAGCAGCCCACCCTTCCTTCCTTCCTTCCTACCTTCCTTCCTTCCCTCCTTCCTTCCTAGCATTCCCCCACGTGCAGTGAGCTGGCTCATTTGCCTGATGCTCTTTCTGCCTTGGTTGACTTTAGTGTCTCTCCAGCTCTTATTGGACGACAACATCCAGATGGAGATGCAATGGAATACTGGATGAACAATGGGGTATATGAATGGACAGACAGACACACTTAGTCTCTCCAAGTCCCAACCCCAGTCTTTCTGTTGGATGCCTGCACTCCTTTCTGGTGCCTAGCGGATACACAGAGGTCTGGTAGCACAACCTCCCTGATTTTAAGATGTTCAGGATCTCCTTGTCTGGTCAAGCTCCTGCATCTTAATCTATACACAGGTTCTGTAGGAGAGAATTTGGGTATTCTGGAAGATCCATTGCTCACCATGTTATCTATGAAGTGTTAAGGTCTGCATGGGGAAAACTAATCACCAGGAAAGAGAACTGCAGCCATGGACCTTGGTCCAAATGCACTCACTGCTGTCAAGCCTATTTTGACTGAGAGTGCCCCTGTAAGGCAGGGTAGGAGTACCCTGTGTGTTTCTGAGACTGTCCGGAGTAGAAAGTCCTGTCTTTTGCCCAAGGGGCGGCTGGTGGTTTCCAACTGCTGGTCTTCCTGGGAAACAGATCTCTGGGTCTTCTGTGGTCAAGCTGTGAGGTGGGTTCAAACCGTCAACCTCCTTTACAGGTGTTGAAAGCCTCAGCTTTTTACCTGGGAACGACTCAGGGTTTCCAACTGCTGACCTTGGGTTCATCAGCCCAGCACATCACCACTGTGCCCCCAGGGCTTCCATCCGGTCAAGGTCAGGTGAAACGTGGCTGCCCAGAACAATGAGCAGGAGGAGACGGGGGAGAGAAAGAAAGGAGCAGATGCAGAGACACCTAAAGGTCGTGGCAGTACCCTTTGCGGACATGCTGATCACATGGTCACAGGGTTGGCGTTTCAAACTGACCAGGAGAAAGATGAGGCCGTCTATGTGCTCACGCAAAGACCCCCAGTCTTGGACTCCCTAGCTAGGGTTTCCGTGCATCTGAATCCACGATGGCAGTGAGTCTGGGGTTTGGGTAGCAGGTATACAGAGCAATGTGCTATGAGGTGAGGGCGCTGAAGGTTCCTAAGGCTACTCTTTTAACCTGGCCTGGAGTCAATTTAATTAATGGCACCATCTGGCTCCCAACACCATGGTCTCATTAAATGAGCAGTCATAGTAAATATAATTGCAAAAGAGTGGAGGAGATAAAGGAGGCGACGATAAAATAGCATTGCCCGCCCAGGGCCATTGATTTTGCTTGCAGCTTGCTGGAACGGGGAGAGATGATTTTATTTCTCAAATTCTCTCGACTGCCATTAACCGTTGGCACTCGGCGCGCACAGCAGGCGCTGATTAGTGCTGAAAGGCAATGATCTAAACTGTTTCCAAATCCCACCCGCACCCCACCCCGCCCGCATCTGGAAAACCTCAGAGACGCAGGGTGAACCTTACATCACCATCCTGATTCCCTGGAGAGGAGGAGGATGGTCCCTCCGTCCCCAGATATGTGTACAGCACCCACTCCAGCAGTTTTCTGTCATCGCCCCAAAATCATTTAGCCAAGGATCTGGAAATGGTGTGTCACCCAGAGACAGGGCTGGTGCCACTGTTCTTGATGTGGCTGTTCCCCACATGGCGGAGCAGGAGTGCCCCTTTCACTGCCATTGAGTCCATGCCCGCTCACAGTGACCCGGGAGACAAGGTAAAACTGCCCCTGGGAGTGTCCGAGACTGTCCGGAAGTCTCTGCCAGAGTAGACAGCCCCGTCTGTCACCCCAGGAGCGGCTGGTGGTTTCCAACCGCTGATCTTCCAGGGAAGCAGATCTCTGGTCTGCTGTCAAGCTGGGAGGTGGGTTCGAACCCTCTACCTTCCCATCGGCAGCTGAGGACTTCACCACCGGAGAAACTGACACAAAATACGTTATAGGACCGGACTCCGAGCGACCATGAGTGAGTGGGAGCATGCTGAGTAAATGGATCAAGGCACTCAGAGCGTGCTCGAAGGAACGATGTCTTTTCTTTTTCTTTTTTATAGTGTGAAAACCTTTTCTTGACTTTTTACAATGGTGGCCCCACACAATATTTGTCCCTGTCCATCCATGTTATGAGGCATTACTGAGTCAGACTCAGTCTTTAATGTTGGATAGTAGTCTGTGTAGGGAGCCCCTGGTGGTGCAGTGCGTATGTGTTGGGCTGCGATCAGCAAGGTCAGCGGTTCAAAACCGCCAGCCGCCCTGGAAGATCAGCAGTCTCGGAAAACTCACAGAGGTGGTTCTGCCTGTCCTGTAGGGTCGCGGGGAGTGACGCAATGGCAGTGACTTTCCTTGTTTGGGGTATTCCATGCAGAACCTCACATCGTCTATCCGTGCTTCTATGGAGGAGCACTGAAGTTTGCTCCCTCTTTTTGCTATTGTGAATGGTGCTGTGATGAACATGGCCGCACACACCTCGGGCTGCTATCTCTCTCATTTCTCTAGAGATGGCTTCTTCTCAATTGGGTCTGCTCTATCATAATATTAGGAGCCCAGGTGGCATGGTGGGCTAGGCTAGGCTAGGCACTGGTCTGGGGGTCAGCGGTTCAGATGCACC